GTTTATTTTCTGTCTCTCTGATGGGTTTTATATTTTTTTTAGTTTATATTTTTCTTTTCCTGGGGTGAAGAAGCAAAGCACTTACATCTGCTGTCTTCTGATGGAGAATAACAAGGCCATTGCAGAACGGCAGGAGATGTTTTCCCTTCAGTTTGGCAAGAGGTCATGGGCTTCTGCTGTTGTCTTAAATAGCTGTCTGTGTATCTGTGTGTGTGGTGTCTAAATGTAAATGTGCAAAGAATGTTGACTCCCTCAAATCTACTGAATCCAACGAAAAGGGCATTTGATCATGGCAGATGACATTGCATTAGACTGTGTAGCGCAGAACGAGCTGCAGGCACTGGGAATTTAGGGGTGTAATCAGGCTTATTTATACAAGGCAAGATGTTTGCCTGCATGAGCAGACTTTCAAAAAGGTTTCAGAGGTTTGTTGGTATTTGCAGGCTTACAAAGCAATCTGACTTCATTAGGCAAAGTCTCCCACTGTGTGTATTTTCTATCTCTGTATCATCTGTGTCAGTTGAGTAGATTGATCTTCACATCCTCATTATTTTCCTCTTTCCCCTCCTCCCTTGTGACGTAACACAACTGGTATCTATTCCCAGGGGCTGTCTGACAGCAGGTAGCAGTCCCATTGCTTCAGGGGAATTTCATCCATAGGCAAACAGTGTAGAGATAGATGCACATAGGATCAGGTCTTGGTTTATAGGCCTGTTCATGCCCTGCTTGCAATGCAGTTTATTCTATGGGAAAAACAAAGGAAAAAACCCAAGAAATATTTGCAGATTACCGTTATACTTGAATACTTATGTCTTTAATTATTCTGATTGACATTTTTAATTAGATGGGAAGCAAAACTCCATTGGATATAGTGAGTAAATGAAAAATGATTGCATGCTGTGTATTTTCATTTTTATTTAAACTTCTTAGTAGTTTGTGAATCCTTGTGTTCACTCTGATAAAGCCTGAGGAGGAAGAATCACAACTCTTCACTAGCATGACGTGTACTTCAAGCAGTGGCGTGTGTGCTGCTTTCGTTTCCATTGGATTTCCTTCTGGCTGTTGCTTGCAGGCTCAAGCTCTGCTAGGAAGTCTGTTGCTTTTCCTCAGTGCATCTCAGGAGCTCTGAGTCAAGGGCACGGACCTGACTGGCTTGACACTTTCCTGGATGTTCAAGTAACTTTGCTTTTGGTAATGTGAAATGGAACCAACACTTGCCTGTTTACTGGAATTTTGTGGCCAATTTCAAAGTGGTTCAGAGACAAAATGTCAATTAGTGTCTTCAAGTGAGTGTGAAATTAAAAGCGCTTGTGTGTATCTCACAGTAGAAGCACAAATGAGAGGAGAGTAGCGAAAATACCACTGAAACGCACATTTTAAAATTGATGGTCAGTATATTTCACCAGTGCTCAAATTTTCTAGCTAAAGAGGAAATTTTTTACGGATAATAAATTCTCAAAATAAAAGCCTTCCTATACCTTTTACACAAGCATATGAATTGTGCAAAACTTTCAGTGGGTAAGAGCATCTTTAAACCGAAGTACGAGTCTTTACAGAAAATCTGAGGTATAATTTCTGAGCTGAATATATTGCAGTCTGTAAGGACAATCGTAAGAACTGTCACATCTCAGTCCAAAAAAAAAAAAAAAGGTACAGGAGAACACCCCCCCACCATATCCTCCCGTATAATCCTTTATTATAACCACGGAATAAAATAGACCAGTAAAGCTTCTTATGCCTGTAAATACCCGTACCATACAATTAAAAGAGAGAACTGTAACTGTTATTAAGCTTCATACTGAGCTGGGGGAGAGACGTCAGTTTGTAATAGCAGCCTTGTAGTGCCATGAGTTTGTAATGATAGAACTGAATAATCAACATGGGTTATTGTACTTTGACTGCATCTCACTCCCGGAACATTCAGGTTCCTCTTTCACGGTGCGAAGATGACTTTATGACATAATTATATACAGTATTAAATGGTGCTGTTAAGGGAAGTGAAGGGGTCATGCTGGGAATTTCCAGGAGGCAGGAGGAGAAGTAAGGGTATCCTTAGCTTTTAAGAGGTTATAACCTAAGCAGAGCGTGCCGTGGCCACTCTGGTAGCATTATGGAGACAGAACTCCCCAAGGACGCACTATTTTATGTGTTCTTCTGACAAGTACGTGTAGGTCACCAGAACTGCGTTCCTGGAGCCAGAGAAGCACTGGTGAAACCGGAGAATTTGCTCAGTAACTTGGACCTGGCACTTTCTGTCTCTTTGAGCCTGATGTTTGTCCTTCAGAGGACTTGGATTTAATGGTTATAAGGCAATGCTTGACAAGGCATACTAAAAAATTGTTAGTGCTGCTTCTTTAATCTCCGTGGTCTCCTTTTTAATTGCTCCTCTTGCAGAGTCTGGCTGCGTATCTGAGAGCTACCAGGTTTACATCAAATTCTTGTTTACGCATGATTTTATGATGGAGACATTCAGCCTTATTAGTAATAAGCTCATTAAGCCTAGTTTGCATCAGCCTAAGCTGCTTTAACCCTAAGCCATGGAGATGCCTTTTGCGAGGGGGTCTACAATCCCACAGTTTTTTCCTTTAGAGCCTTCATTTTATCAATTTTCTGTGTGGGTTTTTTTCTGGTGAGTTTTGTTTTTCATCTACTCAAAAGGCAATTATCCACCTTGTTCCAGGAGACGTTTGGAGCCTTCTGACAGGTTAAGGAAAGTTCTGTCTTAAGATCCTGACCTGGAGTTTCCACAGATGATGATAAATGTACTAAAAAGTGATTCAGTTAGTCTGCTGTGCTGGCCTTATGGACGCAGAGTAAAGGCCAGTGTTAGGCAGCAGAGGAGCAGGCTTAGTGCTTGGGTTTGTTTGGAGGGATTTTTAAGGCTTTTTTACTCACTAGAGGAAATCAGAATGTGTTCATGTATTCGGAGCTGGCTGAATCCATCCTGTTTAGAACCGTCTTGTATAAGAGAAGAACCAGTATTTTAAACTGGGGGTGGCTCCACATGGTAAGACCAAATGTGTTTCCTAACCCTGCTCCAAACCTACTGAAAACCTGGTGTGGGACTTGATTTTTATTTTTTTTTCCCCTTGGCTGCAGGGATGTGTTAAAATCCATATTACCTGCTAATACACCCACTTATTTATGAGTGGTCTTTGCATCAACGTACACTTCTTTCCCAGTCCTCATATTTTACTAGGTGCAAAATAAACAAGTAAACTAAATCTGGAGAAGAGGAGGCTGAGCAGGGATGGGATTGGAGAAGAGGAGGCTGAGGGGGGATCTGGTTGGAGAAGAGGAGGCTGAGGGGGGATCTTATCAGTGTTTATAAATATCTCAAGGGGAGGTGTCAGCAAGGTGGGGCCAGGCTCTTCTCAGTGGGGTCCAGTGACAGGTCTAGGGGCAATGGCCATAAACTGGAGAACAGAAGGTTCAACCTGAACATGAGGAAACCCTTCTTCCCTGTGAGGGTGACAGAGCACGGAACAGGCTGCCCCGAGAGGGGGCGCAGTCTCCTTCCCTGGAGACTTTCCAAAGCCGCCTGGACTTTTTACTGTGTCATCTGCTCTGGGTGATCCTGTTCTGGCAGGGGGTTGGACTAGATGACCTCTAGAGGTACCTTCCAACCCCTCCCACTCTGTGAACTGTAAATTACTGCTTAATTTTCTAGCTTTTCCATAGGATTCAGATTAGTGTCCTTGTAATAAGAGATTTGTGACACCTTATGCATTATTAATATCAGCTTGTATTCCAGTTGGATTTTTGGGTAAATGTGACCTTGATGTAGGTCTACTAAGACTGATTTGTTACACCAGAAGTTCAGGCATACATCAGAGGTTAGGATATGCCATCATCTTGCAGAGTAGGCAGGTAAATTCTGTGCCTACCACAGGCTTTCACTGGCCTCTTTCAAGAGTCTTCCTTGTTGTCATACCCTAGAATTGTCCAGATTGTCACAAAAACTTCTTTCCTCATTCCCTCTTGTAGTCTTTCAGTTATTTCCTTACTCTGTCAAAAAAGAAAAAACACCTCAGAAAACCTGTGAGAAAAGTTGACTTGTAACCTTAGAAAGATTATAGGTAGTTGTAGTTACCTGTCACGCTTTTTCTTTCCTTTTTACAACCCTCTGTTACTAGTTTTCTGTAAAATGTTAATTGCCAGACACAAAGGTATTTGGAGACTAACTCTCTGAGGAGTTATTAAGTGAAAGGCCGCGCACATGAGCAGTGCTACTCAACAGACCTTGAGTTCTCAGTGTTGTTGTCAGTGCTGTGTATGATTTTCTTTGCACCCTCAATTGGATAAGTTGCCAGGGTTCATGTGCCGTTGTGGAGTGATGCTAATCCAGAGTTCCTCCTTCTAGATGGGCAGAACTGCCCTGTTTGGTTAGCCTTAAAATGCTTTGGGATCTCTTGAAGGGAAGAGTCATATAAAAGCGCGGTGCCTGTGATAGATGTCTGTGAGAGTTCAAGGGTGTGTTGTGTTTCGGAATACTGTCGTCATAGGAGTAGGTTCCACTTTGATAAATTATAAAAATGACTGTGAATGACTCATAGCTCAGTTATAATTATTCCCAGTGCTAATTATGTGTCAGAATTATCCAAAACGCTGCATCAGACATGGCTTGCATATGCATTACCTGTGTGATCATGAAACTGCGCTTTTTCCACTGTAAACTTACTGAGGGCTCTACTCCACAAATCCTTCCTTTGTGAGGGCTCCTTTCTCAGCCAAGCAGGCCCTATGATTTCAGGGAAACTAATTAACCAGGGCAAGGATGTTCATGACAAGCTTTTAAAATCATTTTAGAATTGTACCCTGTGTGGCAAAACTTGAAAATACATTACAGAAAAGGTTGTGAAGTATTTATTCCTCACAGTCCTTCAGTACTCACTGTGGGCACATGAGGACGAAATACATCTTTGTCTGCTCGTTGTCCTTGAGAACTATCCTGTCTCACGCAAAGATGTTTTAAGACTCTCTTCTTTTTTCATTTTCAGCTTCTGGAAAAAACCAACAACGTGTTTGAGGAGCCTGATTCTGCAGCTACGAAAAGTCCTTTGCATTTAGCTGTAAGTATGAGACGTGTCAAGTGTTTGTGTGTCTTAGAATAACTCCTTCATCTGTCTTTGAAGCAGGTTTAATCGTAGACTTGTTTTGAAAAAGCTGGGAAGGGATGTAGGCCTGGATGGAACAAAACCAGGTTCTGGGCTGGAATTGTTCATTAGTTTTTGGCAATTGAAGCTCTTGGTTCTTACTGACTCTAACACTCAGGTGAGAAGACGACACAGACACTGAAGTGAAATGAAATGGCAAGTTGCGACTTTCATTTATAGCCAGTTCATACATCTGGGGCTGCAGCTTAAGCCTGTGGCTTTGATCATGGAGTGGGATACTTTGATGTTCTCCCGGAGATGTGCAGAGTGCAAAAAGACTGTCTGGTACACAGCAAGGTGTGGGAAAGCATGCTTAACCCCCAGCAGTGCTCTGAGAGTGTGCCACGGAAACTATCGAAAGGCGATCCAGCACAGGTGGCCTCGGAGATCACAACAGCTCCCCTTTCCCAAGAGCTCAAGATTCATGATGCCTCTTCCCGGTTTCCTTGTGCAGAATCACAGAATAGTTGAGGTTGACACGGACCTTGGAGACCAGCTCTGTGCTAAAAGCAGTCAGCCAGAGCAGGTTTTCTCAGGGCTATCACGTTTCTGCTATCTCCAGGCATGGAGAGTTCATGGCTTTGGGGCAATCGACTCCAGTGTCTGACCACCATCACAGTAAAAATGGGGTTTTTTTGCATTAAATGGAATTTTCTGTGTTTAAATTTGGGCCTATTCCCTCTGGTCTTGTCACTGGGCACCCATGAGAAGAGTCTGTCTCTGTCTCTGCTCCCCCATAAGGTGTTTATACGCATTGGCAAGCCCCCCTGAGCATTTTCTTTTTGAGGCTGAACAGTCCCAGCTCTCAGCCTCTCCTCACGTCTTTCACAGACTGGTTCTTCACTGGATATCCAGCCTCACCAGGAAGCGGCCCTTCTCTTGAAAGGGAAGCAACTTGCTTACTCGAAAATGGGCAGGTTTTAGCTCTGTAGCAGTCACATCTGTGTTTCCCAGTCAGCCAGAACAACTCTGAACTGACGTTTGAATTATCCATGTATAATCCGAGGGAACAGGAGCCAAAACTCTTGGGTTAAAAGATTGAGTTTGTCCCTGAACTCTTCTCCCCACCTTTTTATTCTACAGTTTGAAGACTGCCGGAAGGAGAGTGTCACTCCCAAGCCCAAAGAGGGGTTACAACCTGCATTATCACCAACACAAGTTCCTGTGCTGGGAAGGGACTTGCCCTGCAGCTGGCCAGACAGCAAACTTATTTCCTCTCTGCTCCCTCTTGGGCAGAATCCTTGCAAGGACACAGCCAGTGCCTTTCCCTCTTACCTGTTGCTGGTTAACAGCAGTTTATTCACTTGGGAGACCCAAAGCATGAAGTCCTGTCAAATACCTGATATGGTGCAGTGTCAAGGCCTCTGCTTACAGGCGTTTGGCCCTAGAATGGAAATAGGATTTAGAAACAGGGGGTGGCCTGGCAGCCAACAAGATCCTGACCTGCCATTCTCTGAGGCTGTGGTGCATGATTGTGGTAATGGTTGAGTAAATGGCTGCACAAGGCAAACCAGCAGGAAGGGAAAGTGGACTGTTATCCTTCCAAGGAAAGGGTGGGCAATACAGTCTGCGCGGCACCTTCTAGGTAGATAGCACACACTCTGTCAGAGATCGGGTTGTTGCTAGTTTTCCAAGTAAAATTGTCACAAGAAAAGCTGACAGTTACATCAGAGTATTTTCTGAGATATGGGTTCCCTCTTCCCTAATATCCCTTTGCTTTTCTTTTCCTGCTTTTGCCTTTGTATTCCTTCAGTAGTTGTCTTGGTCCAGCAGGAGAAGAGCTGTTTGTTCCCTCAAATTGCTTTTGTTTAGTTGGCAACCAGCAGGGGTGTTGAATTTAGCACCCAGTTAGGTGATAATCCTGCAACCTCTCACCAGCACGACCAGTGGATCTGGGCTTTGGAGCAAACGTGTCCATGGAAGATACTCTAGAACACAAAAAGTGAATTGTGGATTTGCCTGTGCTGAATTGGGAAAGTACTGCCTGAAATTCCTCACCTTGGGTTGTATTAGAAGGTTAGAGCAAATCAACAATCATCATTTCCGTCCCTAAACACTAGGAGTTTTTTAGTTTCTTGACTACAGTGTAATTTGGGAAAATCCTTTGTAGTTGGAGAGAGTCATAAGGAATTAAGAGCACTGCGTCACTTGTCCTGTGTTTAGAAGACTGTGACAATGGGGGTTTAATTCTGTGAAAGTCTGAAAGACAAGAGCAGTGTTCCTTACGTGACTTGTTTGATTTTTCTAGGCCTATAATGGTCATCATCAAGCCTTGGAGGTTCTTCTCCAGTCTCTGGTAGATCTGGATATTAAGGATGAGAAGGGACGCACTGCGTTGGACCTGGCTGCCTTTAAAGGACATGCTGAGTGCGTGGAAGCTCTCATCAGCCAGGGTGCTTCTGTCACTGTAAAAGACAATGTCACCAAAAGGACCCCCCTCCATGCTTCAGGTGAGCGTGGGCCTGAGTTACGCTTGTGGTATAAACGCCGCGACACAGAAGCGGTTACCTTCACCTGCCTCCTACCCCTACGCACCTTTCTGCTGAACAGAAGGAGATTTTGACGTGTAGTGAGAACTGCTGCTTGTTTGCTGAGGTCCTACAGTTAACACTCATCTTTCAGTTCCTTGTCTTTTTCCCTCTGTCCCAGTGATTTAGGCCCCTTCACACAGAATCCTGAATCCACACCACTGCTGCTCTGCCCTTACCTGCTTGCCTCTACTTAACCCTACTTGTCTCTTACCACCTACTCCTCAAGATGTGTGATGTTTCCCCATGACACCTTCTCTTAGTTGTTCCTCAGCCAGAAAAATTAGGGGAAGGGAGACCACTTGCCTTGCTGCTTCTTCTGAGGAAGAAGGGTTGAAAATACAGGAGATGAATTTATATGCAGGTGCAACACCACAGAAATTCACCCCCATTCAGACATCCTCCTCCTCCTGAGCTAGCTTGTCAACTTGCTGTTGCTGGGAGTCTGTCCCGTTCCTCATGTGTTGCATAATTGTTGCATGTTATGCAACACGCATAATTAACTGGGAAATGTAGAATTTACCATTTATTTAAAGGTTTTTATTTAATATGTACCTGTCAGATAAACAGGCAGGGGTGCCAAAGGGAACGTTGCTCCTCTGGCTGTTCATCCAGGGGCTCAGTACAGCATAGTAGGGACCTCTAGTGGGAAGTAAAATTAATACTTCATTGGTTAACAGTTACCTTCAAGGCCAGACTTAATTGTCTTTCTGATGCTCTTCCAATTTTGCTTAGGTTAAAATGTGTAAACATCCTGTAACACTAGTTTGTTCTCTGTGTGGGATGATGTAAGTGCAACCTGGAAGCACAGCATCAAATGGACTGTTATCAGTTTTGTGTGCAGTACTGAACAAAATGTACACGGTAGATCTTCATAGCATGCTAAACATGCTTTCTGCCTCCTTAAATTTTGCATCAGAGCTGAGTACATCACTTGCCACAATAAACTAATGATACAGAGATGCGCTACCAGAGCTTACGTATCGGAACTTTGAGACCAGAATTCGGTGAGAGGGGGGTTTAGTGGTTTCTGATAAAAACACAAACCAGTAAATCCAGCTGTTCCTCACCCTGTTAAAACTGTTGGTGTGATTAATACAAATGAAGCTCAGTGCCATCGCAAAACTGCGAGCTGTGTTGGTGAAGAGCTTTCCTACGGTCACTTCAGACGTAGCGTGGGGTCTGCTGACGGACGAGGTGTGACTGTGCCTGGTGAGCCATCGCTGTAGCAATGAATTTGCATTTATTAAAATGTGATCATAGTGACACAGGTTCCTTGATGTCACAGCTGAATTGTAAGGGTTCTGCAGTACTGAGGCAAGTAAACGGTAACAAAGCCATATTTCTGTCAGCAGCTCTGACTTAAAATATGGATTTGTTGAATTGTGTTGATTTGTTGGCTAGAAGGTGTTGCTGGAATAGGCACATTTCTTACCTTCACACAAGTTCTGACTGTAGGGGTTTTCTCCCTGTTTAGTTTCTTTTTTAATTGCCCCCACCGCTGTAGTATGAGGGCCTTCCATGTAAACCCAGACTGTTCCTTTTCCTTAAAAAAAAAAGAAATTTTAAAATTTAAAAGATTAAAAAAATATTCCAGGCTTACAAGCAAAATGTTCTTTAAATCTGCAGTGAAAATAAGTTAGGTGTGTATTTATAAAGGGCCGGGGGGGGTGGAGAAGGGAGGAAGCAAGAAAGCCCTACCCACAGAAATGAGACACTAAGGAAACATGTACTTTAAGAGGGGAAAAGGCTGCACAGGCAGGTTGAACTCTTAGCAAAGAAATTCATCACTGTCATGAATTTGGAGCCCTTAAAATGGGAGATAAGTGCACTTTGGGTAAACACGCATTAAGACAACCTTTAGATCAAGAGCTGTGCAGAATTCTGTGGAAATTGGCTCTGGAATAAAGCTTCTCTCCAACTATGATGAGAAGCCACTTGCAACCTGATGGGTTTTATTACACTGTCTCGTACGGTGCGCTTAGGGGTGGTGTAGCCAAGAGCGCTGCCGTCTGTCGGCAACGCTGCGTGGTGCTGCTGCGGTACCCAGCGCTTTCTGTTCGCAGTGCAAGTGGAAGAGGTAATTGGGCACATTTTGAGAAATCAAGGGGAATTCTTGCTGAATTAATCCCTTGAGTGGCAGAGCGCTTTGTGTACATGAACTTGAATACTCACGTGTGTTTCCTGCACACTGGAGGAGACGTGTGTGCCCATCCCCTGAAACGTGTTTGCCTTCGCTCCTTCTGAATGTGACACAAGCACAGCTGCAGAGCACAACAGCGAGGGGACCTGAAGTGATGGACTGGATTACAGGGTTCTGCAGAGCTCCCTTTGGAAGGGGGATTTGTAACTTCAGGAGAGAAATCACTTAATGAACTGTTTGTTTTCCCTGACTGACCCCCTCAGGGAATAGACTTCCTCTGACCTCGTAATATGGGGAGTTTCCTTAGCCTAAATGATATGTTCCCTGTAGGGTTTTACTACTCTGGCTAGCTTGGGGAACCCACAGCGAACGTTCCCCTCCTGTTAGTGCTGGAGCTCTGCCGGCAAAACCGACGTTCCCTGCCAGGGACTGTTATGCTGAGCCATCACTGGGTCGGCTCCTAAGAGTTTCTGTCTTCTAAAACTCGTTACCAAAATCCTTTTCAGACGCCGGTGTGAACAAGTTAGGATTTCTCTTCCTCCTGCTGGGAGAAAAACCAGACTTCTCCCCTAAGCCAGTGACTCATCAGCCCCCAGAACTGTTTACATGTGATGTATATGGCATCACTTAGTGGTAAATAACAAAAAAAAAAAGTCTCTTATTATTTTTGTGGGTAGAGCAACTGAGATTATTTTTGGAGGAGTGATTTAAATGTGATGATGTCCGCCCATCACTCTGCCAGAATGGTGTGACATCGGTGGTGTCCAAGGGCTTTGCCTCAGCCCACAGGGTGTAGGCAGCGTGAATGCATGACTGGCTGTAACCAGAACACAATCTATATTTACCGAGTACAGGAACTGCTGTTTTTCAGAGAAGAAAATACTGGTTCGTCCTGTGAGTTGTCTGAAGCTGGGGCCTTTAAGCCAGCTGACACACAGATGGTTTCTCGTGTCAGGCCCTGCACAACGTAGTAACTCGGAGCTGCTTTCCAGCAGCAGTGGGTCGTGTTACAAAAGGCAAATCCAGTTTTTGAGAAGTAGCTGTGATTTCCAATCATGTCAAACTAGAAAAGCTGGAAAAACCCCAAGGGAATTGTAGTCTCTGGTGTCACGTGCTGTTACGAATATGACATTTGTGTCACTGGTCATGCTTTGCAGACGCTGCTTTTCCATCGCAGCCCTGCAGATGCTTGGACAGGGCGCAGAATGAACGAGCCTTGCCAGCGTACTTCCAAATCCGATTGCGCAGAGCCTTGTCGGCCCGCTCGCTCCGAGGGATTTGGAAATGCTCTCTGGTTCAGTAGAGATCTCCATAGTGAAAATCACAATTTCTGTTCTATTCTTCTGGGATTTTCATATGTAAGAGAACTAACCCATGTCTTAGTGAGGTCAGGGAAAAAAGAGCTCGTCATTTTATTGGCACAAGTTAAATGAAAATTGTGGGAATACTAATTCCTTATATTGTGAAATATTTTCCATGTTTATAAGGGAATTTCTTATCTATAAGCATCCATTGAAATGAAACATAGTTTAATTAAACATGCTTTTTCTCTTTGTAGTCATTAATGGCCACACACCTTGTTTACGGCTGTTGCTCGAAGTTGCAGACAACCCTGATGTGACAGACGCAAAAGGACAGTAAGTTTGCCTTGTGATGGTTTTCTTTCAGCTCTGTGATTCAAACAGCATCTCGGATTTCTTACCAAAAAAGCATTTATTTGAAATACTGTATTTCCTGCACGTCTCCTTTGGCAGAGATTACAAAGTACACCTTCTGTTGATCTAAGACATGTGGAAAGGAGTATTCATTAATCTCAGCCTTTGCTTCATACTTTAAACAGTTCTTCATAGATGCTGAGGGCCAGATTCAATAAAAACTAACAAGGTCTTGAGACGTTTCTATAGAGAGTTTTTTCTTTCTAAAACATTGATATTTCAGGGCTTATTTGACATACTAGGCTGGTGCAGTGAGACAGAACATTTATTTGAGGTGACACATGAATCTGAGATGTTCCCACAATAATTTTACTTCTCATTAAATGACAGCTGTAGAGGGAGAATTAAGTATATTTTTAAAGTGAAAATATGAATGTCTTTAAAAAATCATTTGGGGTGCCTGGAACATGTCTGACTGTACATAGAATTTTGAATGGTATCAGTCTTATCTAAAAATAGAGGGAGAATAGACCCCTTTCAGAAAAAATGGGAGAAATATTAGTCAAAATTTTGGCTTGGATAGTTTCCTGTTGTCCCTTCATCCCCTTTAAGCAGTTGGGCAGCATTTGCAGAAGAAATGCTTCGGGTTGTTGCCATCTTGGTAACTAGCGGGGACATTCATTGATAAGGCTTGGGTGTCGCAGAGCTCCAGTGGTGCTGGAGGGGACAGAAATTGTAGGTTATTAAGCGAACAGATCATCTTGAGTGATGTTGCTCTGCCAACTGCTTACAAGTGCGTTAGTTTCTATTTCGGTCACGGCAGTTGGTTGTTAAACATCTTAATTTTGTACGGTGAAATTGCATACATACAGTGGCAAGTAGTGTGTCATTTTATAGCTATGATTGGGTTTGTTTTGTTTTTTCTAGAACCCCACTAATGCTCGCAGTGGCATATGGGCACATTGATGCTGTTTCTTTATTACTTGAAAAAGAAGCATCTGTAGATGCAGCTGATCTCCTGGGATGCACAGCTCTACACCGAGGGGTGACTTAATTTTTATGGTTCTTAATTATTTGTTTTACTGTGACTGCAACTCACTTATAAATAGGGGGGTGTTGAATGGCTGGAATGTAAGTACAGAGAGTGCTGTAAATGATTGGAAACCTGACCAAGCACAGTCAGTGAGGTAAAAGCAGGACAGATCTGCTCTCAGTAATGCTCTGCCTTTGACTTGGTTTCACATTCACATTAATTAATTAGATAAAATAGCGATTAGACCTATTTTTCTTGGCTCTAGATGCTTCAGTATAGCAATCATCATTTTTAGAACTGAGCACCTTATCAATTCTGAAAGCAATTTAAAAAAAAAAAGAAAGTTATTTTCATTTTCTTGGGGAGGATGGTGTAAGTAAGTAAGCCTTAAGTTTTGATCTGGAGGCAGCAAAATTTGAGGCAGGTCTAATCTTTTCTAGGAGTCAGGTTCTTACCCAATGGGAAGGTGATGCAAGAGGTGATATTTATACAGAACTCTGTGGTAACTACAGCCAGCAGTTCAGCTTTGGAGTGCAGCACAGGTCTGTGCTAAGAGCTGTGGCATGAAACGTCTGTTACGTAGTGACAGCGCTACATGAGCATGACCAAGATACCGTAGCGACCCTACGTTTGCAATACAGAGGTCACCGAGAATAGCTGGGCAGCTGTTAAAACAGCTTTTCATTCTCTGATGATACTCTTGATCCTTTTTTCTTTTTCCTCTCAGCTCTTCTCTCATATCCATACATGGTTTTGAGGAGCCAGAGTCAGGTTTGCTGAACCTCACCTCTTGTTCATCCGTTTCCTTAGTCGTAAATTCCTCCTTGGTTTGTGCCTCACTTACTGGAGCCATTTCCGCAGACTAGGAAGCAGTGCCGTTGAACAACAGCACCAGATACATTTTAGTGTTTCGGTTATCATAGGCGCTCACGGGAGCAAAGGAGCTTTCGTCTCTGCCTTCTGAATCCCATCCAGGCTGTTCAGATTCACAGGCATAAGTCACGCTGGGCAAGAATCTGTGTTGTGTCAACCTCTTTCCTCATTTCTTTGTTACCAGATTATGACTGGGCATGAGGAGTGTGTTCAGATGCTGTTAGAGAAGGAAGTTTCCATTTTATGTAAGGATGCCAGAGGCAGAACGCCCCTGCACTTCGCAGCAGCTCGGGGTCATGCCACTTGGCTGAGCGAATTACTGCAGATAGCACTTTCAGAAGAAGACTGCAGTTTGAAAGATAATCAGGGTTATACACCGCTGCACTGGGCTTGTTACAACGGTAGGTTTCTCCCTGGGGACTTTGCCAGGTTCAAATGCGGCCTCACTTTTAGGGAAACACGATAACAAAGCAGCCTAACACTTTGAGAAGCTTGAAATGAAGAGGCAGATTATCTACCCACTAGTTGCTCTCTGTAGTTGGCACTTGCTGTGGTCACCCTTCAGTGAAGGGAAATTCCAGCAACGCTCCCCTGTGACTTTGCAGCTCCAGTCACAGGAGGCCAGGGTGAAATTCTGGTTGTACTGACATCGGTGATGAAATTCTCACTGATTTCTGTGGGGCCAAGAATGCTCCTTTGAGGTATCACCTTCTTATTTACTGATGCAGGAGATCATGTGAATAGATGAATATTCTGAACTGATTGTTCCAACCTGGATAATCTGAACTTGTTGCTTAATATAAGAATAAAGCTTCCTAATGCCATCATTTAAGACCATCTCTGGGGATGTGTAAGGCAACATACATCACATAAACGTCACATAAAAAAGAGACTGTTTACCTTTCAATTTTTCTCTAAGTGCTAATATTACCCCGGGCCTGTCTTGCTACTGCTGTAAAAAGAAATCTGTTTGTGATTTTATCGCGTAAGAGCTTGTGTACACATTGTGTTCAGCTCTGAATGTAGTGCTACATTCTAATCTGTACCAGTCTAATGTAAATTAGGCGAACTACCTGCTTTGTGCAACACTGACATGTCTGCTCTCTCGTAGGTCATGAAAGCTGCATAGAGGTACTATTGGAACAAAAATTTTTCCGCACATTCTATGGTAATAGCTTCTCTCCATTGCACTGTGCCGTGTAAGTACAAATCTCTGGTAACAAATGCTTTAGGGTTTCTCTGGGAAAAGTAGCAGTATGAGAAGAAAGCTTTCTGTGTTTTTTTATGTTATTTGCATGAAGAAATAATTTAAAAGATGGTCATAAAATTGTGCTTGTGCTTCTGATGAGAAAAGCAGCAGAATAATGAGTATTGTTGCATGAATTTCATACATCTAGGCTATTTGATGGAATTCTGACTTGGGATTAAACAGCTGCATTTGTGCTCCCGCTGTGGTTTCTTTCCCTTGCTTACAACTACAGGCCTGCGCCTTTTCTTCATGCAGGCTCGAACCGCGTAGCTCTGCCGTTCCTGGGCCACGGACCTGGGCTATAGTGCCTTGGTCCGTGTAAGTATGAGCTTTCGAGGTTCCTTGGAAACCCAGTACTGACAGTGAAGAAATCGGTCAGAATCAAGGTGATTGTTTTAGCAGTAGGAACAAAGCGTTAATGAAGGCAGGATCTGAAACACCAGTAGGGTCAGAATGGTGTTCTGTGCAGGACATCTCAGCGGAGTGTTTTCCACACTGATTTTCTACACGGTCTATTTTCCCTCTGGGGTAATCTCTGCCTTGCAGGTTTGGTCCTTTTTGCCCAGGTCCTAGCCGAAGGCATTGGTCGGAAACAGAGGCAGACTCTGTATCTGAAGTTCTTGTATGACCTATGAGCAGCAAAAAGGCGGTGGCTATTATGGGTTATTCATCTTGCATGCCTGTGTTTAATACACGTTCCTTACGCAAAGAAAGCAGTATGTTTTCATATGGGAAAGGTTCTAGGGGAGCAAAATAGTAACTTCTCATAATTGCAAATGCATTTCTTTTTAGAGGCAAAATTACTTTAGTCTGTCGGTCCTAACATGCTTATTAAAACATGTAGGCCATTAGAATAGTGAGGAACTTGGCACCTCAAAACCAAGAGGAAGCCTTCCTAATTTCTGCCAACAGTGAGAATGACTGTGTGCTGTTCTGCGTTCTGTTAGAAGAATGCATGTGTTCCAGAAGTAATGGCAGGAGTTACTGTTGGGTAGGCTTCCCTGTACAGTCCACGTCACTGAGAAGTAGAAAGGTCATTTGTCATGTATCAAACTTTGAAATTATAAAACCCCCAGTGTATTAGAGAAATAAAAGCAGATATAAAGCACTAGGTTTACTCTGCTTAAAATAAAACCACTTGTGGCTGAAACGCAGTATTTGAAATCTGAATTTTTAGTGATGGCTTTGAATTTTTGTTTTCAACATTTATATTCTTTTAAGCTAGCATGTAGTTCTCAAATCCATTGAAAGTGTGTGCAACTTAAAAATGCGTGCGAATTGAAAATCAAAGCAGCTGCTCATGCAGCGTGAGTGTGTGTCAGCTGTGCTGTATGTCCAGCGCTGTCACTAAACAGTGTTTATTTTCATAAAGAAATGAGACACGTTTACAGTAACCAGAGAGAGCACTGAGTACGTCCATCAGGGAGAAGCATGAAATGTGTGCGTTGGAAGAGATGTGGGTTTCAGTGCGGAAACCATCAGAATGAAGCTTTCTGTATGTAGGTTGTGTGCTTTCCAGATCCAGGTGTGTTTGACACTTAGACTGAAGGGTTTAAGGTATTACATGTTTAATCCCAGGTTTGTGCTGCACTTTCATCTACCTTTGTGCATAGTGAACTTCAGGATCAGCTTTGCTTTAGAGACTGCAGCTCATAGCAGCAGATACAGTTTGGTTAAATGGAGAGATGACGAATGATCAGAAATGTCACAGTGTTACAGGAAAGGTATGTTAGGGCAACTTATAAATAACCACTAAGATTTGTGAATGGGAAGTGAAGTAAAGGAATATTGGACAGCATTGGAGAAATGGGAAAGATGTAGATGTTTTACTGTTTTGAAAATGTCTTTTGGCAGAATCAATGATCATGAAAACTGTGCATCACTGCTCATCGGAGCCATCGATGCCAGCATTGTCAATTGCAAAGATGACAAAGGAAGGTAATAGTTTCTGAAACAAATTGCACTTCATCTTCATGAATTCATCTTGTATTTTTCATAGTTCTTTCTGAACCTCTGGAGCTGATCCTTACCTGGTATGGGTGAGCTAAGGCTGGTCATGCTGACTCTTTCAGACAACAATTTACACTGCAGCAGTTAAATGGTGGCTCGCTCGAAGCACGAATACTACGAAGTGTTCAATTTCGTAGTACATATGAAAGAAATACAAAAGGAACAGTATTTTGTTTGTGGAGGACAGCTATGACTGTGGGCTGTTTCTGTGAACCAGTTTTCTTTGCTAAATATTTAAACACATTTATCTTTGCCACATGGAGCGATACTATGTACACACAGAAAAGTATTTCACTGAAAGCTTTCATGTTACGGTAGCATTCGCAGGGCACAGCTCAAAACATCTCTGCAGCAAAATAATACTGATACAGCAGGAGATACGCATTCAGCCAAATCTGTAATCTTTCACACTGATGATCTCCTCACTCTGTGTGTGTACACATATCTAATTAAAATTGATGAAATTCTAAAACTCGCATACTCATTGTTTCTGTTAATGAAAACAAATTCAGCACCTTCAGTAATGGTGATGACTTACTCAGCTGTGAGGGTACGACCACCTCGCCCTTACTGGTAAGCAAAACCTGAAGTAACACTATGACCTGGGCTGTGTATCAACCATCTTTCATCTGTTAGTCACACCTCACACCCAAAATGCCACAGGGAGACAGCAAACGAGTTCCAGTGTCACAGTCTTGTGGAAACTGATAACCTTCAAAGGGGATAGATAGAATTCCTTCTGCCTTTTAGAGTAATACTGCTACTGTAGCTTGTTGGTGCAGTACTTTTGGCTATAACTCAAAATACGTTAGTTGTTTAAATGACGGATCTGGTCTTTTCTGATCGTTCTTCCCGTCTCGGGCATGTTGAAAAAAATAAAATCAGATGAATGAGGGATTGTACTGCTCCATTAAAATAAAGATGCTGCTAATATGAGATTCTCCACAGTGTCATATCTCCATAGTATCACATCTACCTTATGCTTCCCTTTTTCAGAAGCTTATATTGCACCAGCACAGAGACTGTAAATACTACTTAACTTATTTCAGATGTGGCTACCAGAACGTTCCTCTGGTGATAACTCAAAGTTTCATATGAAAAAAAACCAGAAGAAAAATATCTTGCACTTTGAGGTTCTTTGCACTTTGAAGTGAACAGGCGCATTGTCATTCTTCAGCAACAGCCTTGGTCGTGTCCCTTTCCCCACAGAACACCCCTTCACGCAGCAGCCTTTGCGGATCACGTGGAGTGCCTCCAGCTCCTCCTGAGTCACAGCGCACAAGTGAATGCCGTGGATCACGCAGGGAAAACACCTCTCATGATGGCAGCTCAAAACGGTCATGTAGGTGCTGTAGGTAAGTACATCCTCGCCTCCGTCTGTCTTGAAGGGTGAGTGCTACTGCAGTTACTATCCCAAATAGGTAGTAAATTTTTTCCTGTGAAAACGGAGGAAGAAAAATAAACTGTGGATGTCTGTAAGAAGCTGCCTTTACACCTGTAAAAGAAGTTCTCTTTCTTCTGTCACTGGTTCTCAGCAGTCTTGGTGGATATTTGCAATAACAAACTTGAGTCCTGTTTCCTCCTAAGAGCACAGTGTAAGGAGCATGAGGAGAGAAGCAATTCTGTTCTCCTGTTTACTTCCTTGATTTTATGGAGCGGTAAAACTGCATGTGTGAAAGAGATTGCGTAACCTTTTTTTCCTGCTCTATTATAGCAAGTGCTGTTCTTAAAATGGCAGCTATCAGCGGCTGGTTTTCCAGGCTGAACTGTATACTGTAGACATACACAGAATTCCCTTTTCTCTAACTTCAACAGCACAGACTGCACCCTAAATTCTTTATATCCACTTAGTTCTCTGAAAGCAGGATCATCACTTGTTTCCAGGAGAAGGTGATTCAGACACAACTTGCTGATCTGCAAATGAGGAAGTAGAGAAATAAATTAAGATGATTATATATTTGACAGTTTGGGGCACAGTGAATGAGCTACTGGCTCTGCCTTTGCTTGCCGATTACCTGCACGAGATTAGTCTGTTCTCATTCATTATTTTCCCTTCATAAAGCTTACATTGCATAAAGGCTTAACTGATAGGCACACATATGTTGAAATAGTAATTTTTTTCCTTTGTTTTCACATGTTCATCTGCCCGTTGGGTTTGTTCAATCGTTTCTATTCAGACTTTTTGGTGAACATTGCCAAGGCTGACCTGACGTTGAAAGATAAAGAGTCGAATACATCTTTGCACTTGGCTAGCAGTAAAGTAAGTTGATGCCCTCTGTATGCTTCTATTCTCTACGCAGTCTGTCTGTGTGTGTGCTTACGCACCTCAAACTTCTTCTGCAGTGGAAATGTCGTCACATTTCAAAGCTGTGGTGAGGAAGGGAGCATTGTTCCAAGCTTTTTCTCAAGTCTGTTTCAATGTTTAGTAAATTGAGAAATACGGATGCCTCCTATGACAGCTGAAACATGAGGAAAGGAAACTGAGAGAAATAATGGAAAGTCCTTTGAGATTTTACCAAATAATCGCACTGTAAAATAGTTTAACACAGATTCAGATAAAAAAAAAAAAGGTATTTATTCTTTTTTCTTATTCTCCAGTTTCTGTGGAAGGAACCCAAAATTTCCCCTTATCCTCTGTAGCAGTAAAACCAGAGGCATTGATTAGATTGGTGGTGGTGTCTTTTCCCACCCTTTCTTCCTCTTAATTCCAATTACTGCTGCTGTTCCTGCAAGAAACAGTGTCCATGAGATTCCCTCTCCTGGGCCATTTCTTTTGCCCCCATCCACAGACTAGATTGCAGTGTGACAGTATCACTCCAGTTTCTGCACACGTGAGCCGCACTGAATTCTCGAGGCCCTTCAGGCAGCTGCTCACCTGCCAAGGCTGGAGGCTCGGCATCTGCGCATCGCTGTGCTGAGGAGTATCAGAAATGAGGCTGGATCTGTATTGTTTCCAGAGTTTCATTTCTAGAGCTCTCACACTGAAGGGATTTGGTAGTAGCTTATCAATAATACAGAAAGGCCTTTAAAGACCCAGGAGGTATGATGTTAGTTTTTGAGATTAAACCATTCCTTTCTGTGTTCCAGTGTAGCTCTAATAAATAATCCATCGAATGCTCTCTCAAGAGAAAGAGCAGTCTTCCCTTAAAGTTGAGGAGGTGAATTCATATGTGATGAATGGAGAGTTGGAAGACAGGGGAATTTCTAAATGTGTGAAAACATTCTAGCAGTGGTGCTTTGTAAACAGTATTTTAAGGCTCCTACAGGTCACCTACTGCTACATGAGTAGCATGTTTTGTGTTTGAGTTATTAAATTTCACTTTTACATGTAACTTTGCTTTTCCCTCAATTCCGCACTCCTCAGCAAATTAACACTATTTGTCTTTTTTCCCAACTACAGGGTCATGAAAAATGTGCCTTGTTAATACTTGACAGGATACAAGAACAGAGCCTTATTAATGCAAAAAATAATGCATTGCAGACGTAAGTATAGCCTCATCCTCTAAAGTTCAGTTGACTTACCAGAAGATTACAATTTTGCTTTTCAAATTCACGGCTCAGATTTTTTCATAGAAAAAAAAGTGAATTTCTGAATTTTTTCTGAGTGCTTTCCGCTGAAAAGACCGTATTTGTGTTGCATTTTCACTTTCCATTTTGGTTCCTTTGATGCCAATTCTATACATGGTCTGGAGGAAAATTATATGAGGTCATTTATTTGAAGACTATATCAAGATGTCTATTAATTATGTGAATGTGTAAGTATACTTCTGGCATTTCCTGGGTTTTTGAGCTTCACCTTAAATCTAAATAATTTATTTAGACTTAAAGTAGGACATTTAATTTGAAGAGGGTTTTTTAGGTGATATTTTATGAGCAGCTCCCATCCATACCAAACACTGTCAGCAGCGTTAGAACCACTGATGTTCTTACTCCAGCTGCAAGTTTGACTGGTATGGGGGAATCCCACAGGAGAAGATTCAAGCATGAGTTCACATGGCAGATCATCTAGTGCTTGCAGAAGAATTCATTCCGTCATAGCCCTTTTTCACCCTTTCCAATATGAAACTGTTTTTCTGTCCCACTAGTTGTCCCCAGACAGGAGCATTGAGTGTTGGCCCAGGAAGGGAGCAAACCAGTGGTTATTTTTAATTTCCAGCTGCTCTGCAGTGAGAGAGATGAGCAATCGAGCATTGAAGGATAAAAAGGCAATACAATAATGTAATGTCTACAGTATAAATGTAAGGGAAAACATTCCCCTTCTGATGTTGGGTGTTCTTTAAGTGTTACCTAACTTGTTTTAGAAGGTCTGTTTTAAACTGAACTTGAATTTAGTTGTCATGTCTCTGTAGACCTCTCCATATTGCTGCACGGAACGGCTTAAAGATGGTGGTTGAAGAGCTGCTAGCCAAAGGGGCATGTGTCCTAGCAGTAGATGAAAATGGTAAGTAAATAATACACTTTGACAATCTTCAGTGGGACCCAACAGGTAATTTTACAACAGATGAAGCAATAGACTTAAAAGCTGATGCTAGACATCACTGATGCTTTTATCCTTCCAAGAACAGACAATGAGCTGTGTGAGTACCTATTTAAAAAAACAACAACAAACCCCAAAAACCTATTTATTTTTCTTTAATATAAAAATGTATTCTAAACATCACAGCGGTCCCTTTTACTGTTCATTTTGCATGTACTGTCAACAGCTAGTCTTTTTTAATGCTTGAGTGCAGTGGTAACTTGAATTTCCTAAACATGCAAGTGGCACCGGATAATTCTGACGCCTTGCAGAAGAATTAAGGATTATGCATTCAATCAGCGCATGTTTTAATGGGTAGGAAGAAAACCATCAACATATGTTTGATTGTGTCCTGGTTCATTCTGAGATCAAAGCTTGTGCTTACCAATTGTCTGACCCAGTCCAAGATGCAAGTAAATTACTGCTGGCTTCTAACCACGGTCTGTAGTATTAAAACTGTACATACAGATCAAGCCAATTTCCACATATGTAACAAGTGAAAATTAGGTCTAAATTTGACTTTAGACCTAATTTTAATTTTTCTGGGAAAACCTGCATATGCAGCTTAAAAGACAAATTTAAGTACAGTCTTAGTATAAGTACAACTCTAAAGAATATTCAGGCTTGGAACTCACTGGAAGAGGAAATTCCATTTAGGGTATGCATTCACTGCAATCAGTGCTTAAATGTGGGCAGTTTGCTACAAGATGTACTCACATTTCTCCACCAAACTCGCCTACACCACAGGCATTCTTGGCTTACTTGAGGCAGGAGGATATCAGTAGTGGTCATTGCCTCAGGTTACTGTTGTGGCAGCACTGGAGATTTACCCGTCTTCAGAAGAATTTCTTTGCTCTTAGTGTAAAGGAGGATTTGTTGGAAAGTGCTGGAGTACCACGCAGCAGCCTGCAGAATGTATAGCTAGCAAGTGTCATCAGTGTCCTAGCTTCCAAGATTTGTGTACGTGAAGAGCTGCTTTAGGGGCAGCACTTGGGCAGGAGCCGCCTTAACCTGCAGGGAAGACAAACATTTAATAGCTCCCCAGTTCTTCGTTTTACTGACATCTGTAAAATATTAAATTTGTATTTAAAGTGTATGCCATGCTTTCTGACTGCAGTCCTTGTTCTTCTAACATAATGTGAATTGGGGTAACTAAACATCCGCGCAGCCATACCTGCTGTAATGTACCATGTTCGCTGGTCTAATTCCCTCACAATTTAATTCATAAATAAACTGCTCTCCGAGTTGAGCAGACACTCAACTGATTGGCCTTTAAAATGATTTGCGTATTACTTCAAAACGTTTTTAAACTAATCTCTCTGACGTTCTAATGAAAGCCATTGCTCTCAGAATGAGACTTGTTCATACATGCAGAAGCTGAAGCCAGTTTCTGTCCCTGTTGCTGTACTCCCCGTGTTCTGTACTCATCATACTGTCTGTGCTCTAGAACTGTGTTAGCAAGTGCTTTTACTCTTATTGTGAAGTGTGTTTGCTGCCCGATTTTAAAAAAAATAGTGCTTGTTGTGGTCACGGTGATTTAAATGGTCCATAAAGTGTGTATTTTCCCAGCATGTCTAATTTAAAGTAAGTAACATACCCCTGCTGCCTGGCATGCTCGTAGCGGAACATACATCTCCTGCTCACGGCGTCACCTAGAGATGTATATGAGGAATGCTCAGTGCCATTCTCAGTACCCGTAGTACTAACCGTTGCCTTGTCTGCATTTGTGCCCAGGTCATACGCCAGCCCTGGCTTGCGCTCCTAACAAAGACGTGGCTGACTGCCTGGCACTCATTTTGGCTACCATGATGCCTTTCTCTCCTTCCAGTTCAGTGACGGCTTTCAACTTCGTTTGTTTTAAAAAAGACAATTTGGGCAGGACGCATCTCTGCGATGGCTCCAGTGTGGGTGGCATTAACTCTTACGATAAGCCCTTGAGTAATAACGTAGGAACAGAGGATGGGTACAATGAAAATGATTCTGATTCGGAAACATTTTGACTTTTTGGATTCAAAACCTTTTTTCCATGATTATTTCGTTTCAGGTTTATTTTTGTCTTTTTAAATGGCTTAAATCCCACGGCTAATATTCTGAACCATTACTCTTGACAAGTAGAAAGATCTATAGTGTTGATGAGAATCTAGCCTTTAAATAAGAAAGTTAGAGGGGTTTACTGAAACGTATTCCCGGTAATTTTCAGCAGCTTTTCAGCTTCTGTATGTTTTCTTTAGGCCCTAAGTGCCCCTGTGCAAGGTCTCTACCTCTTATTTTAAGTAGAAAAAGAGAAAATGCCTTTTTTTCTTTTTGATGGCACAAATAAGCAGGGAACTGTTTGTAAAAGTTGTTACATGTTTGAGCTGTACCTTCAGTACACAAACATATTTCCAGTGTAGCCTTCATAGATTTGAGCATCGTCCCTTTCTTCTCTTTGTCCGTTTCCTGCTTCCAGGGGCTCTGTTACTTAGATTTTTTTTTTTTTTAACACAAACCAAAGGTAAAGTTGTAAATCTTAAAGCTGCCTGTATTACTTCGCTACAGGAAACAAAACCTTTTACGTTCTGTGTGTATTGAGCACTTAAACCTTCAGAAGGCACTTTTTACAGTTCTCAGTTGCAGCACACAATTAGAAAAATAGTTATAACCTCTTAAGGCCAAATTCTACTTGTCTCTCCATATTTTCCCACAGACACTAGTGGAAGCAGTTGTGTAAACTGAGAATCACTTGGCCCTTATTTTTTCCAATTCAGCACAAATGTGTACGGTTTATTTGCACTATAGAATTAGGGTCATTAGGTGTTTCTGTCACCTGAGCCATTAACCATGAATCGAGTATTAGAAAACAAAAAAAAAGGCGGCGGGGGGCAATCAGGTGTAGGAGAAGGTGTATGTAAATGTTTGTAATGATTTGCCAACTTAAATGGATTTTTTTCCTTTTCTAGTCTTAAATAACTTATTTTTACTGTAAACAGTATCGAATTTTAAACGACTTTTGCCAGTGTTTGGATTAACAGAGCAAAGGTAAAGCAATGAAAGCGTAACCCCAAAAGTCGCAATACCAGACACCAGAAAACCTAGCAGTGCACCCTGCAGGGATCGGAGATACATGCTAAAAGAGCCTATTGTCACCAGCTTTTAAAGCAATGTCAACTTTGTGAATATGTTTACTCCTTCTGCCAAAGTTTCTAGGTCAAATGGACCACGACCCTCACCTGCAACAGATGTACAAAAGGAAGAATGAGACTTTGTAAACAAAAACAAAGCAAAACTAAACAAAAAGCTATCATAAACTAACCAGCTGTACCAAGAGGACCAAAATACTTCAGTAATTAAATGGAAGACTTTGCTACTTTTATTTTTTTCTTCAAATGTGAGTGACATAATGAAGTAGCTTTTCTAAACCATAAAAATATGAACTTTTGAGGTAACGAGTAGTCTTGAGTGAATTTTAACATTTTATGACGCAGGTTTCCAGTTGACATTTGTAACCGATGATGTGTTGACCACAGTTGGGTTTTTTCCAGACTAAAGAATATGTTCGTATACTTTTAATGTAAATGTGTTTATATTTATTTGAAATGAAACAAATGCCCAGGAAAAATAACTACGGCTTTTTCTCCTAGTTAGCATTTGTGCGTACTGTTTGGCATGAGGCGAAATGAAATGTGAATCTAGGCAAGACTGATGGCCTGAGTAGAGAAAGTAAGGGCTGATGCCCTTGGGGAGAGGGCCCATCTCGTATGGATGCAGGGATAACGTCCACCGGCTACGTTGCTGAAAAGCAGAGAGCAAAACAGCTTCCGCAGTTTAGGAGTCTGAGAAAGGGACCCAACCCCTTGCTAGGCCAGCGAGAGAACGCTGTACAGCCACAGGGAAGAGGGGAGAGGGCGATACAGCGTGGAGTCGAGGTGTTCCCGTGAGTCACACGCCGGCTGTCTGCAGGCCTACACCTGTGCTGGGGGGATGAGGTGAGCTTCCTCCGTGCACGCTTTTGGCAGGGTAAGGGGCAAGTAAGGATTTTCTTTCAGTTGCAGTTTTTAGCTGTGTTCCACAGAACTGTTAAAAATCTATTGGCAGATTCCAGTTCTTTAATGAGGAAAAATACTTATATATTAAGTTTATTTTCCCTTGCTAAAATTAAATATTGTTTCCTTGAACATTAACAGATTTCCAAAGTTGAAAACAAAAAATCACAAGGGATAGTGTCCCTGAAGGTGAACATTTCCTTTCCTTCAGTTCTAAACTGCAATAGAATGACAGAGCACCTGAATCCCTGGTTTTCTCCTCAGAAATAGCACAGAATGGCATTTTAATGATTGATTTTTTTAACGTTTTTGCATTTAGGAGTTGCAGAATAGCAATAACCACCTTACTTTGAGCACTGAAAATAGGAGGAGAGAGCAGTTGTTAAAAGTTTTAAGTGGTGTCTTGTTCAGAAATGAATGAAAATTCCAAATTTTGTGCTTTTTTTTTTAATGTGGGATGATGGCATTGAAAACAAATAAACAACCTGTCTAACAGCAGGACCAGCCTTTTAATCGTACTTGAACCAGAGATGTAGGTAGGCTCCTTGGCAGGATTAGTTGTAAGTCTCACCCTGAAATACAGGATGCTACGCTATCCTACATGTAGTGGCTTCATGAGGAGAAAACCAGTCCTCTTCACAAAGGAGATGTTATTTTAAGCAGCCATTTACAAAAATTTCAGTGTTTTTACATGCTGCCACTCAGAGTTCCTGAAAATATTTCTCTGGCAATCGCACAGTGCAACACCCGCTGCCTCTGGATGATGTGCATGTCACCACAGAAGCACAGGTGATTACTGAATCGCTTGGATTCTTCCAGGAACCAAATCTGAACGGTACCAATTAAACTCTGCTGTAACCTAACAGTGACATGGGTATGCAGTATGCCAGAAATCACAGAAACGTATGATTTGTTAGCATCTTAAGGGCGTTGGGAAAGTCTTGGTTTGAGTGTGGTGTCTTTAGGAGGAAAACCGAAGTATCAGTATTGGCCTATCCCACGTTTCATGTGCTTTACCAGGACCTGTTTTTTTGTAAGCTAGTACGTGAATCCGTAATATGTCACACGTAGAAATAAATTTGTAGGTTAGGGCAGATATTTAAGCATGGGAATGATTTTACTCTTGTAAATCATTGCCTTTCTGTGGACTTTTTACAAGAGTAGAGTTGATCATACATATTTGTTGCACTTAACCCTGGATCCTGCAATTGACAGTTTGTGGGTGACTCCTGCGTCTGCACCAAGCCAAGGGGCTTTGGGGAGGGGCAGCCGTCAGCCCGGGTGTAATAGCAGGACCGACTCCCCCTGTATTTTAACCACAGCTGCAGGGAGAATCCATAGCAGGATGGGGTCCCTAGTCTCTCTCATAAATACTGAGTTACAGCCTCCGGACTGCCTGAAATTGCTGTGAAATAGCTCAGGGGATTTCTGTTCATCGCTACTAAAAGGGCACCATAATGTGTTTGGTACTTTTATGCAGTAAACAACTGCTGGATTATTGAATTAGAACAAACTCATGAAATTAATCGATTATCCATTGTACTGTTGAGAAACTTGGTTATGTATCTTGAGGATGATTTTAAAAAGATTTGTGATTTTTATTCTTAGTCATGTAAGAAATATTAGAGTGCCTTTTTATATTTGTGTATTATGGAAATGTTTTGTGAAACTTGTCTCTTTTTTTTTTTGAGTGTTATAAAAGCAATATATTACCAGTAAATTTTCATTTCAGATCTTTTTTGAATGTATAAAGTGTTTCTTCTTTTCATATGTTCTACTTGCATTGAAATGAAAATTAATATGCTAAATTTCTATAGGAATAACGTATAATTTTTGCAGTGCTGAAAATGCTTTCTTATTACACGAAAAGTAAACCTTAGGTCAGTGTTATAGGAAAGGGCGTTTTAAACTAGTGACAATCTGAGTGTGTGTATAAAATGTAATTTTATGCGTTTCTTATGCAGTGATCTACATATTAAAGCCAATATCTTATGTTTCGTAGGTTTTGTCTTATATTTTATGCTTTAGCATGTGCAATATATCTTTACAAACCATGGTGATACGAATCTGGTGCCAGTGTTATATTTTGCATAACATTTGTAATAAACAATACACAATACTGTTTGGTGGTTTGTCGGTATTGTTTGCTTTTGTAAAGTGAAGTTCCAAGGACTTGGGTAAACGTCACATACGAGATGAGGAAAGAGACTTAACGACTTGGGATTCAACCTGAATCTTCTCAAGCACAGTTTAGTAACTTTTTCAGCTACTGAATGCTGTATTCGTGTAGCGGAGAACCCTAACTGTAAACTACTATTGCAGTGCATTCAGACGCTTATTTTTACAAATAAAATGGTATAAATACTGTTGGAAAACTGAGTAAATTCTGTTTCTTTTAAAGGAGGGGGAAGGGCTTGAAGTATTCAGGAGTGAAGAAGATGAAAAGGCAGCGCTATGTATTTCTACTTTGTACTTCCCTCCGACAGAACTATCCCGTGTCTCAGGAAGTCGATGTCGGTGTTAGTTCCCCTGTACACGGGAGCACAACCCACACCAGCAACATCTTCTGTCAGACATTAAGTACTTCATGGTTAGTTTTCTGTGGTGGGCAACCCCAGCCATCGTGGGTGCACCGTGCAGCAGCGTGGGGTGCGGTGTCTGGCCCGCAGAGATCAAAATCTCCCCTACGATCGAGGCCCGGGGGGGCAGCTGGGGGCACTTGGGAGCCCGTAAGCGCCGGCCGGCGCCGCCTGAGGCGCGG